ATATTGTAAGTATGTAATCGATTAGTAATCAATGGTTATGATTAGTAATGAGTTGTAGATTAGTAATTAGTTGTAATGTGTGTTAGTGAATATATGCTATGTTAGTAATCCATTAATTAGTATGTGTTTCCCCTATAAGGAATTGTAATGTGCATTCATATTCTTAGCTCCCTCGGCAAAGCCACGCCGAAGGGAAACAACAAAACAACAAACATATATATTCTATTATTTTATTGCTTCCCCCCAACGCGACTCCACCGAAAGAGCCAAGAACATGAATTACTGCAGTCACGAAAGCTTTAAATCAAAATGTAACGTGTATTATTTAATAATATGCTTCCAGGCCGCACTAAGCCTGTAGCTGTGAGAGCGATTAAAGTTATTCTTATTCCTCTCAATTTCAAACCAGCGAAACGTCGTACTCAAACTGTAAATGTTGTGGATTCACTCTTCAACACACCGGTGGGCTAAAGTAGTGAATTATTTGTCTTTTGTCAACGTGACACTATTTTTGCTGATTGGCCATGTCGGGTGGTGGAGGGTTACGACACATTTATAAATAACGCGATCTAACCCAAAAACCTTTATTATGAATAATATTGGTCGCGAAAGCCTATGTGTTAAACTGGTATCATAGGCCTTGACCAGTTAAAAAAAGCTGAGATGTAGGTCCTGTTGGAATTCCCGACACCTCTGCTGTAGCAAACAGACAGAAAATATGGCATTCATACAGGACTGCCCTTTCCTGAAAAAAACATTGGGGCTCCACAAGCCTTTCCTCAGTGTGCCTGGCAAGCCAATGTTGAATAATCCTTGTCAGGACCTTTCCCGGCACTCAAGTCTGTGCGGGTCCCCCTTCTGGACAAACAGGCCATCCTTGTAATTCTGCAAAACTTGACGAGTAGTCCAGATTGTTATTATGTTGTAATAAAGGGCAGTCTGCACACTAACACCACCCTTCCTCAACAATTTGCTTGGGAGATCATGCCTGCCCAGCACTTTTCCTGGTCTCAGACTCTGGATTGCCTCCCATCCTGCCTCAACAGATGGCACTTCAGCCAGCCACTTACAGGGGGTGACTGTTTATTCGAATATTTGAGGCACCATAGCCTCAGCAGGGTCATCCCCACTTTTATCCATGTTTACTGGGCTGAGGGATTTCCACTCCCCAAGATCACGCATAAATGCTCAGCAAACCTGCAAATTTGTTCCTGGGGGTCGGAGATCGGACCACCATTCTTTCTCTCTTCTTAGGATGGTGATAGGTGTGATGCTGCAAGTTCCTTTTTTGATGGAATTAAAGAGTAATTTGTGATCGCGGGCTATTGAAGCAGATTCTATCTCAACCCGCGACCACCACTCATACTTGCAGCACCACACAGCTCTCCGAACTTCCAAGTGAAGGCTGCGGTAAGCCGCCTCATTCACCGATGTGGAAAGCTGTAGACGGTGAAAGTGCGCTTGTCGCTTTTTCTCAGGCAACCTGGAATACCTCCTGCCAGCCATGGACTCTGTGGAGGTTTTGACCATGTCCCCAAAGCACCCATTGCAACTGCATGAGCCACATTCCTTAACCTCTCCCATTTTTCCTCTGCATCAGGAGGAGGGGGGGCGATGCCAACCCCAGCTGCAAGCGATGATGAAAATCTTGCTTGCAAATTTCATCAGATTGACAGGAACATTTTACAGTTGACTAACCAATAGCCAATAGTCAGTAGGCAGATCAGCTCCATGGTAGGCCCTGGTGTCAAGGACATGGACTCGGTATTCGTATCACTATATAGTCCAGCAGATGTTCTTGCTTGGACCCGGCGTGTGTCCATGATGTTGTCTGGATGCGCCAATGCATGGGACAGTGTGTTGGTAATTACAAGTCCATGGGCTGCACGTAAGTTTAACAGCCTCCTAACGTATTTATTGAGCTGATCTGGCCCATGCCTTCAAATCACTTAAGCCCAGATGCCAGTGTCATGACCCAATCGAGCATTAATGTCACCCAACAGGATGACTATCCCGAGGGGCCACTTTAGTTATCACCTGTAATAGAAGGTTATATAAAGTGTCTGGCTCATCGGCCTTTACTGCATCCCTCCACTGATGTTCATCTTCGGTGGGGACATAGGCAACCACCACTGTCATCATTTCTCGCCTCCAGTTGAAGGGGCAATGAGCCCACAGCAACCTGAGGCTTACAGCTTCCCACCGCTCTCCCCCACGCTCCCACATCCCCTTTAATCTTTTGCTGTCTGTTGTTTGGCAGTCCCCTGCCTCGAGTAGATGACTCTCCACCGCTCATGGTGACTGGAGCCAGAGTCTATCCCCCAGACCTCCTGAATGCCACAGATCCAGGCGGTACTGGTCTAACTCCCAATAGAGGCAGCCTCCCCGCTGCAGTGAGTGTTCGAGCATTCCACAAAGCGACTCACAGTGGATTTTTTTTTACTTTCCTGGAGGAATCCCGAGAGGGTTCAGTCTCGTGGCTCCGCCAAATGGGGTTTGGACAGAAGGCTTCTAGATGCCTGTCCCCCTTGGGTCTCTGGCACACACCTATTCACCCACCCACCTACCCACCCACCTACCCACCAACTCGCCTCCTTATTCGCCCACCCACTCACTCACTCACCCACTCACTCACTCACCCACCCACACATTCTCCAACTCTCACCGACTTACAGAACGATTTACTCACCCACAAACTTACCTACTCACTCGCCCACTCGCTTATTCGCTCTCTCGCTCACTCACCCTTCCAAACACTCACCCACCTACTCTTGCTGGACATCTGTGAAAAAGTTTCATAACTGATCGGGTTTCTCCAGGATGAATAAAGATTCTGATTCTCACCTTCTTACTCATCCACGCACTCAAAACAAGGGTAAATGACCAGAACTATGCAGGGAGGCTAAAGTGACATTTAAAGGAGTGAGTTTTCAGGACTTAAAAATTGCCTAATTAGCAAACACAAAGCATGGTTCCAAAGCCTAAGTGCTGCACTGGCAACAGCCCAATAACTCCAGGACCAGAGCCTTGACTTATTTAACTATTTTTTTTATTTTACAAGGTAAGATCCAATGAGCTATGTGGCATTTTATTTCAGAAGCGACCTCGCTATCACAAATGAAGCAGCTGAATGAAGTGTCTTATCACGTGGAAATTTATAGCAGTAGCCAAATACTCTCAACAAGTGAAAATCCACAGGACCACGGGGAGAGAGAGAGACGTTGACTACAAACGGTGTCGGGATGGCATCAAGCCCATAGCCTCCTACATACCAGGCCAGGGAGTAATGTCTCCAAGCCCACCGTGGCGCCCGGTGGCGAGTCTTTAGAAGAAGGCGATCCGAAGATCTCAGGGACTTCGTTGGAGAATAAACACGGATCAGTTCCAGCAAATATTGGGTGGCTAGCCCATTGAGATCCTTGTAGGTCAGCAGCAGGGTCTTATAATCCACTTGATACTGGACTGGTAGCCAGTATAGAAACAAGAGAGCAGGTTTGTGATGATGATGTTCTCACGAAACGGTGGCCCTCCTTTAAAGCAGATACATTTCTACGAAGGATTATTGCCTGAAATGTCGCCTATTATGAATTAATATAACATACTTACATTATATGTTATATATACAGTACATCTACGATTATCCGGCAGCTTTGGGGGGAAGGGCGCACCGGATTTTAAAAAACGCCGGATATTAACATCATTATTTGAAATAGCTTATTTTTTCACATTCTTGCATGACATTATGTTTTAAGTGTTGTATACTTTATTTTAGTGTCTTAAATTAGTTTACTATATGAAATTGGCATAAATAAACATACAAATATACTCAAATAAATATCATACTCCAAAAAGTTGCGGTATTTACTTGCTGTACTTACCACTCCAATCTCGAAGACTCTGCATGGGGTGCTGTAAGTAGTACAGCTCTTGTTTCAACAACATGGGTTTGACGATTGCCGGACTGATGCGAATGCTGAATTACATACACTTTCATTGGATCGCAATGTATATTTTCAGTTTTTTCTTACAATTATTATTAGTCATGAACTATTTAAATACGTGCAGTATTTTAATTTTTGTAGTGTATAATTTGCTGTAAATTATTTGACACTGAAATCAAGCGTAGCTACTTTTTTTGGCACACACATGGTGCCGATTGCCGGACTGGAACAGCCTGCGGAGCAGTTTTGCCGGATCAGCCCGGGACCGCCGGATAATGTTGGAAGCCAGAAAATCACGCGCCAGATAATCGATGATCAACTGTAATGTATATATAATGGTCTATTGTAGAATTTTACGTGCTTTGAAGAGAGTAGACATGGATAATTTGCTATAGATATTACGGGGCAGCGGACATAGCCAACCATTTTGAAGGGGACTGAGAGATGGAGGCCAACCAATGATGCAGTGCCCCGATCATACATGATCTTGTAGAGGTCATTAGTAATTATCTTTAGTATAGCCATCTCAGTGCTGAATAACTTCCGGTATGCCGACTGCAACGGGTTGAATCGACCCATCACAGCGACGTGGGGAAGTAACCGCTTCAGACACAGACACTCCACGACCTTTGAAATCATCATACTCGGATTTGCGATTAGTATAATGAGAGAGCTCTCAACACCTGCGTTTTGTCAGATCTGCTGTATGTTGCGGAGGCCTGGACATTACTTCAAGCTGATTTGGATCAGCTGCAGTCCTTCCACATGTGAATGCCACAGATGCCTTCTTGGCATCGGATGATTCGACTTGTAAATGTCACCATTGGGGCATTTGCCACCAGTCTCTAAGCGACCGAGAGCTCAGTTCAAGGGAGACGGCTCTGTCACTTTGTGGACACGTCGCCCATCTTGCTGCACAAACTTCAACAAATTGCGCAACTTGAGTTGGCGATCAACGTTTAAAGTGGACTGCGACCATAAAAGGAATGGCGCCGCCTCCATGACCTGTGGATCATACAAATATATGGGTAATAAATGAATGAATCTCAACACCTCCAGGTCTCCTGCAGTTGGCCGAGGCGCTGCTCGCCCTGCTGGTGCTGGTCTGCGTGGCTTCATCACAGGCCGTGTTGGCCGGCTACAGTACACTTGGACCAGGCCTCGGCTATGGGAGCTCTGAGCTATCGGGGGGCTACTCCGGGTTCGAGGGAGCTGAGCTGCAGCGAGTGCACGACCTGGACGCTGCCTTCACCCTTCTAAGGGCGCCGGCGCTCTACGGGGGGGTGGCGTTCTCCCTCGTGGCCGCTGTAGTCACGATCGGGGTCATGCTGGCCGTGGCGCGGTATGCAACAGTCGGTCGGCTTCAGTCGAGTTTATAGGTAGTTGTATGTGTGTGTGTTGAACTTCTTTGGCACTGTATGTAGCCAACCGTGCTAATCAGAGGTACGGGGAAGGACAACAAACTAAAACAACAGGCAGTTCTAAAGAAATGAGTTTGTCAATATAAGTGATTTAAAAGTGCATCACTCCAGTGGCTTCCAAATATCTGAAGAAAGAGAGTTCCAGACGGCTGCAGAAGTGCATCTTAAAGTGCGTGATGCAGCGACATTCTTTTTGTTCGATAGCTTGTCAAAAGTTTTGTATACAGTGTTTAGTGTAGTGTATAGTGTAATATAGTGCAGTGTCTATAGCATCTGAAAGCGCACGATGAATAGACCGTCTTTATTTGTGTGTTATCCAAAAGTGTAGTGTATAGTTTCGTGTATATCAGTGTATATGTAGTGGTTGATTTCACTGACAACTTTTGTCTTTCTTCCAACACCACTTTATTACAGTTCTCCACATGTCCTCAATGCTCCACAGTTCCCTTGTTGCCACAGCTCGCTCGCTGTGCTTCACTCGACTCGCTCGCCGCCTTTGTCTCTCCAATCTCCACTTCTCCGTCAGCTCCGATGTCTCTGTGCTTCCACCACTGCTGGCTGCTTCGCCTCTGCTCTTCGCTCTCCGCTATCACTGTGCTCTCTCCACTGCTAACTGCTTCGTCTCTGCTCTCCTCTCTTCGCTATCACTATTCTCTCTCCACTGCTAACTGCTTCGTCTCTGTTCTCCGCTCTTCGCTATCACTATGCTCTCTCCACTGATAACTGCTTCGTCTCTGTTCTCCGCTCTTCACTATCACTATGCTCTCTCCACTGCTAACTGCTTCTTCTCTGTTCTCCTGCTCTTCGCTATCACTAGGCTCTCTCCACTGCTGGCTGCTTCTCTCTTCAGCTGCTCCACGTCTTACCTCGTCCAGCCCCCGACTCCAACTCCCTGTTTCTCCACACGTCTCCCCAATTTATCCCCGCTCTCATTACACCCCAATTAATTAACCCGCGTCCCAACGACGCTCCGCGTGCCCGTGCACCTGTTACTTCGCCAGACTTCAAGACGCCACCTCAGCTCTGACAACACCAGCCAATCATAGCCGTCCTTGGCTCCCCCAGCTTAATTGGCCCAAATGTTACCTCATCGTCCCAATATGACCCCTATTGTCCTGTTCCTGCACAAACTCACCAATTACCCCCATGCGCCTATTTATTCCACTACATATACTATAGTGTATAGTCCTGCATAATGTAGTATATAGTTTAGTGTATAGTGTAGTGTATATATAGAATCTGAAAGCGTGTGATGCAGTGACCATCTTTGTTCGATGGCTAGCCAAAAGTTGCTGCGAGGATGAAGGGAGTTTGTGTGATTGTTCATGCTCCTTGACGAGATCAACAAGGTATTGTGGTTCATTTGTGGCAAGAACGTTGTGTGTAAAGAGTGCAGCCTTATATTGTGTTAGTTCGGCAAATGGAAGCCAATGCAGTTCAGTGAGCAAAGTATGTTCACTCTTGCGCACCAGATTCACACTCACCACAGCCGAGTCGCATGTACCGACCAGGTCGGGCAGATGGGAGCAGATGTATGAGTGTTGAACTTCTTTCGCACCATATGTGCTAATCTGTGGTTCCCTTTCACACCTCTACGAGAATGAGTGAATGCCGTGTGGGGTTATTAAAAGTTGATGGATAATAATCAATGTGCTTCCTATGCTTCTGTACCTGCCTCTGCCTACCCCCTACCCCTCATGAACTACCTCGTGCATGCGCCCAGCAGGACAGAAAAGAGGCCGGACAGAAGCGCCTTCGTTCGCCTCCTGTGGGTAGAGCTGTTCATAGACGCACTGGGTAGTGCGGCATTCATAGCCGGCGTAGCGCTCTACCTGTACCAGGTGTTGGAGGTGAACAAGAGCGACACCTGCAAGCAGCGGGAGCAGCTGTACATAAGCCGCGGTTACACTTGGATGACGTGTACACTCGCAGGTGAGAGTTGGAGGGTACGGATGAAGGCGGTTGCTGTATCTTATCTTTGTACTTTTCTCGCTTTATATAGCAGCAATGTCTGAAAGAGGCACCGTGTTGGCGAAATGTTAACGCCCTCTCCTAGTATGCCTGTACATTTGGAGTTTGCATGTTCTCCCTGTGGTTGCATGGATTTTTCTGTGGTTCCTCCAATTTTTCTCCCCACATTTAGAATCAAAATGGTTTTAGAGTATTTGGCTGTTATAAATGTCTACATGATAAGCCCCTTCATTGCTCTATTATTTGTGGCCATGTCGCTTCTGAAAAAAAGCAATATAGCTCAGTGGGCTTTACCTGATAAAATAAAAACATAGTTGAGTGTTTAGTTTACTCTTAACCCAAGGTGCTTTACGATGATTATAAAATTGTACATGAGATGAGTGTGATTGAGTTAAACAGTGGGGTTTATAAATTTTGATTCATATTCCTGGTTCTTTCGGTAAAGTCACGTTGAAGGGAAACAATAAAATAATAAAATATATAAAACAATAAAATTATCACGACGTTTCGACTGCAACACAAGCAGTCATCATCCGGTGTGAAAACCAACGGCGAGAACATTATGAAAAGCGGGGTGGTATAGTTATGGTGACAGAAGGGTAGGTCGGAATGATTAAGGAGGGGTTGGGGTAGTGATAGTGGTTGGGTTAGTGATAGGGGTGGTGATCGGGTGGGGGGGGGGGGTGGTGATTGGGGTAGTGATAGGGGTTGGGGAAGCGATAGGGGTGGGGGTAGTGATAATAGTGAAAGAGGTTGAGGTAGTGATAGGGTAGAGGTAGTGATAGGGGTCGTAATAGGGGGTAGTGATAGGGGTTACTTCAGGCCTGATCATATCTGGAATAGCTGGGGTAGCGGGGGCAGGGAGTAGCAGTAGCAGCAGGATGGGCTAGGGGAGAAGAGATTAAATAGGTTTCTATGAGATGTTTTCTCCTTCACCTGGTATACAAGGGATTTTGGGTTTGATTGCGACCCTGATGCCAGTTGTATATTTGGGATCTGCGTATCTCAATCTCTCTCGCTGCCACTTCGTTGAGCTATCATTTGTGATAACCAGGATGCTTCTGAAAAAGAGCTCATTGGGCCTTATCTGGTAAAATAAAAAAAATAGTTTAGTTTTAATATTTCTGGCAACTGCCTGTTGTACCGAACAGTGAAACGTTGTATCGAGTTGTTAAATATTATTAGATTTTTCTCCAACATCACACTGGTGCTGCTGAAGTGACAATACATTGGCATGTTTATTCACGTTATATATTTATTCATTGGTTGTGTCATGTGGAGGAGGGTGTACAACACATATTTTACTGACGCCAAAAAAATAATAATTATGAATCGTAAGATTAATAGGAATTTAGTACATGTAGCGCAAGGCTATCTAGAAACAAGGCCCTACATACACATTGAGTTTTCAGAAGTTTCACAGAAGGGGGCAATGGTACTATGTCTGTGCAATCCCAAATCGAGTAATTTTCTTACATTTTTTTAATATGGCAAATGTGTATATTCTGATGATGAACGTGTACGTCATCGGAACAGAAGTGGAATAAAAACTAAAATAAAATAACTTTATCATACTGAGGCTCCCACAAGGCCATGCGGGAGAATGCGGTGCCAGCTATCGTACATTTTGATTTAAAATTTACGTGACTGCGGGAATTCATATTCTTGGTTCTTTTGGTAAAGTCACGTAGATAAAAAAATAATAAAAGTAACATAATAAAAAATAATAAAACCTGATTCCCATCACCATCCATCCCAGAAGAATTCCCTCATCAAAACGCTACACCATAGAGCTCAATGTATCTCTGACCATGAACACCCGACCAGTGAACTCAAACATGTACACCAGGCTCTCAAGGCGAATGGATATTCTAACTACACAATCCGCAAAGCCATCACCCCACCCGTGAGGAAGGAGCCATCTGAAGATCTAATGAAAACCATCACCTTGCCTTACATAGCAGGGATAACCAAAAAGATTTACAAAATCTTGAACAAACACAAGATCCAGGTCCGATTTAACTCAGTGCATAAAATTCGTGATCTGATCCCATCTGTGAAGGACAAGATTCCTGACATGCAATATCCCGGCGTCTACAAATTAAGCTGTATCTACGGCAGCAGTTACATTTGGGAAACTAAGCGACATGTCTCGGACCGTGTTCGTGAACATAAGGCAGATCTGAAACATGGCAGGACCAATACTTCTGCCGTGGCTGATCATTACTTTAATGGGGCTGGCTCACACTACATTGATTTCTCTAAGACGATGGTACTTTGTAAGCTGACTGGCTGTCAACAAAGATTCGTTCATGAAGCCATTCATATATACAGACACAGACAATTTCAAACGAGACGACGGTTTTAAACTCAGCAATCATTGGAAATATGTCATCAACCACTTTGGATCATGACTTGATTTGTGTTTTCTTGTCAACCTCTACCATCAGCAGTGTGGATGGGTGTAGTGAGGTGCAATGTTACCCCCCATCTCTACCCCCTTCTCTCCCCCTATCTCTTCCCTCTTCCTCCTCCGCATTGTCTAACACACTTGGACTGCGCCCTCGCCTTTCAGCTCCACCTCTATCTCTACCCCCCCTCTCTCTCCCTCTGTCTCTGCCCCCCTTCTCCCCATTGTCTAACGCACTACTTGTACCCCCTCTCTCTCCCCCTGTCTCTGCCCCCCCTCCCACCATTGTCTAACGCACTACTTGTACCCCCTCTCTCTCCCCCTGTCTCTGCCCCCTTCCCCCCATTGTCTAACGCACTACTTGTACCCCCTCTCTCTTCCCCTGTCTCTGCCCCCCCTCCCCCCATTGTTTAACGCACTACTTGTACTCCCTCTCTCTCCCCCTCTCTCTGCTCCCCCTCTCTCCCCCCCCCCATCTCTACCCTCTTCCTCCCCCTCATTGTCTAACACACTTGGACTGCGCCCTCGCTTTCAGCTCCACCTCTATCTCTCCCCCCCCCCTCTCTCTCACCCTGTCTCTGCCCCCTTCATCCCCCCATTGTCTCCTATATTTGTGCTGGCTGCCCCGCCCACTTTGAAAGCCCTTATAAGCAGTTGCATTTGGAGGCTTGCCCCCTCTTTTCTCTATGCCTGATGAAGACCGCTTGTGTTGCGATCGAAACGTCGTGAGCTTTTTGCTTTTATTATTTTCAATTTTTTTTGGATTTGATTTAATTTTATTATCTGTTATTTTATATTTTATTTTCTATCTACGTGACTTTATCGAAAGAACCAAGAATATAGTATCATAAAGTTCGGTCATGTTAATACGGTTCTCTGCGGTAGGTACAATGTCTTTATAAATATTAGCGCTACACCTCTGTAAATAAAATTAATGCTGAGCCGCTTGCGCGTTCCGAGATTCAGCAGTGAACGCAACCCACCCTGAAACTTGCAGACGTCTCAGAACGGGAAAGGCTTAATACGTCCAAAGTAAAACTGAGAAGGCCTGCCAGATTCGATCTGCGAACATCTGCAACAAAGCACTACAGCTGGGCTGTGGTACTGCTCCAGTTGTGGGTTGTGGTGGTGGCAGCTTTAACTTATTAAGCATTGCTTGAGTTGTAATGTTATGTCTTATCGACAACAACCTGTGTAATGTTAATCGAGTCTTAGTATGGCTCTATTGGCGTCTGTGATTAACACTGAACCCTATAGGAGCCAATAGTTCTGCTCTGTTATTCTCATTGATTAACACTCAACCCTATGGGAAGGTCTGTGTGGCACTGTGATCATCCAAAGTGTTAATTTAGTAAACATTATCGTGATTGTCCTAGTCTAGTGCAGTGGTTCCCAATCTTGTACTTATAGTTTAACTCCTATCTGCACTAACAACTGTCCATATCACTACCAACTATAAATTTCACGGCAGCCCTACCAGCCTTACCAACTCTCTGTGTACCCCTAATAGCAACAGCAGCAACCATATATCCTCACGACTCGCTCTCTTGTCTTCTTAATAAGGAACCGATGCAGCGGTGGCTGTCTTTGGGTTGATCGCCGCTTGCTGCTACTTGGCTGGAGCTGTTCTGTGTTGCATCGGACTGACAAAGGTATAACAATCATGTTTTTTGGTTTCTCTGTCTATTAACCCTTTCCCATTTCGATAATATACGTGTGTAGTGCCGTGAATTCACTCGGACGACAACCGTCTTTCTTCCACCGTCACTTTTATTCCATCGTTCCGTACACACATTAATTCTCCTCTTCGCGCTCTACCAACTCGGACACTCCGATTCACCTCAGCACCGTCCGCTCATCCTCCTTCCACACACAGTGGTTCTCCCTCTATCTCTTCACACACAGTGTCTCTATCTCTTCACACGCAGTGACTTCCTCTATCTCCGCACACACAGTGGCTTGTCTGTCTATTCACACACAGTGACTGTATCTATCTCCACACACACAGTGACTTGCCTGTCTATTCACACACAGTGACTCTAGCTATCTCCGCACACACAGTGACTTGCCTGTCTATTCACACACAGTGACTCTAGCTATCTCCGTACACACAGTGACTTGCCTGTATATTCTCACACAGTGACTCTAGCCATCTCCCCCGTAACTACCTCTCCGCTAACTCTCCCTATCGCTATTTACTGTCCTTTGGGTTCAGCTCTCAATCTATTCTTCCCTAACATTGCCAGCTGTCCTCTTCGTATCTCTCCACCTCTCGCCAACGACTGCCCAACAATAACTCAACTCCCCGTTCAAATCACCTAGCGTTTTATCCCCTTTCCAATTAGCCTTAATTAATTGCCACGTGGCTCGCTGGCATTTTCCCGCCAGCTCGCACCTGTCCAACGGTCAGACTTCGAGATGCCGCCACTTTACGCTAACAGCCTCTCGACCAATCACAGCCCTCGTGCCATGACTCCTTTAATTACGTCGGTTTGTTTACGCCACCCGTGACTCGACCACCTGTTCGACCTCATGTGACCCACTCTCCTTGTATGTCTGTATGTACTGTATGTGGCCAATTCCTATGCGTATCGTTTACTCCACTACACGTGTATGCCATTAGCTTTCCTGAGGACGGTAAAAAATAAAATTTAATTAACTTATCAGTACCGAGGCTCCCACAAGGCCATGTGGGAGGGCGTGTGTCACAGTTTGGCGCCAGCTATCATAGAGTGCAGTCACGTAGCTATAGTTCTCTGCGGTGAGTACTATGTCTTTAAAAACAATGGCACTCTACCTCTAAATAAAATGAATGCTTAGCCGTTTGCATGTTGCAGGATAAGCAGTGAACGGGACCCACTCTGCAACTTGCAGATGTCTCAGAATAGGAAATGGTTAAACTAATATTATAATGGTAATGATAATTATTGCAATAAATACGGTGACAAAATTATGATGAAGGTTATTAATTATGACAATATAACCGAGTTTGTCTGTATGCAGGTGAGAAAATGCAGGCAAACACCTAATGGCACTCACGCCACTGCTGATGCTGCTTCTGAAGTTACCACTTCTGGAGACCAGGAGATAGGGGACAAAGATCGGAAAAGGAATATACCGCCTAGAGTTTGGACTACGAGCAATGGACACACAGTACAAAATGGCTGTACTGGACATGAAACACAAAATGGCCATCATAGAAATGAAATGCAAAACGGTCGCTATGGAAACGCAACTCAAAACGGCGGCGCAAAGCCGGCGCAGGCTCCAGTGCAGGGGCAGAGTAGTCACGCAATGCAATTGAGAACAGAATTGTAAACTCTCATCAACCAGTCCTTGTATTCTTGGTTCTTTCGGTAAAGTCACGTAGAAGGGAAACAATAAAATAATAAAAAATATAAAACGACGTTTCGACTGTAACACAAGCAATCATCATCAGGTGTGAAAACCACAACAAGAAAATTTTTAAAAAGTGGCGGTTATTTCCCTTCTACATGACTTTACTGAAAGAACCAAGAATATGAATCCCTGCAGTCACGAAAGCTTTAAATCAATATTTAACCAGTCCTTAGTTTACTAAAAAAAAATACAGATCATTCAAATAATTTTAAACAAAACTTTTTTTTTATTTTACCAGGCAAAGTCCACTGAGCTATGTAGCCACGAATGACATCTCAACAAAGTGGCTTATCCTGTGAAAATTTATATTAGCCAAATACTCTAAACGCGTAATATAGATTATTAACGTGGAGGGAAAAATTGGACGAGGACCTGGAGAAAAATCTACGCTACTTTATGGGATGTCAGGGGTAGGGATGGAGATAGACAGTGGATTAAAGGGGCATGGAGATGATTCCCGCCAAAATGAGGGGGGCAGTGGAGCAGGAACAGTGGAAGAGGGGAGTAACAGGTGAGGAGATATATGAGGGGGGCATCAGGGGGCTCGTGGCATTCTGGCGGGGGTACGGATTGAGAGAGGTCTGTGGGCAAGTGTGGACTGGGGGAAATAAAGGACGGACCCCCCCCCCCCCCAACCTTGTGTCGGCTATACTTTACACTACCATAAGGAGAGGGAGAGAGACATAAACTCCATTTGTATGGCAGGTGTTGTCAGGGTCGGGATCGAACCCACGACCTTCTGCACACCAGGCGAGGGAGATAACATCTTGCCACATATAACCATCATTTTTAACCACTTCTGGATGAGGGTTTCCCAAGCTAATACTATCTTTAATGGTTTTGCAACACAACACGATTTAAGGGAGTAGAGCTTACAACCCCCTTCATTGAAACAGTGGCCCTCGCGGGAATGGAACATTAAAACCACGAACTTAAAGGCAAGGGAACGGGAGTTCGAGGTCAGATAGTTCTATTTCTGTGGAGCCTGATGTGATGTGCGATCACTGGGAGGTCGGGGATGAGCACAAGGAATGCCTCCCTTCCCCTGGGGATGGATGGGATGCAATAAACGCTCTATGGGACTAAAAGTTCACCGAACACGTATAAGTTATTCTTTCCTAAGTGCTTCTCCCTTTCCTTTAACCATTACACTCCCCCTTCCCCTCTCCCACCCACCTCCCCCCCCTCCCCCCCCCCAACTTCTTCCCCTCACTCCCTTCACGTTTTCATGGACCCAACTCGGTGGGGCAGATTTAAAAGGATGCCGTTCATTTTCATCAATAATATATGCAATGTTCTGACAGGACGACTGCATGGCGAGCGTCATATTGCTTTACTTTAATTTGAGCTTAAAGATTTGTTTGACTTATTTTAAGTGTAATATGCCTTACAACTAGTCAAAGACTTGTTGCCACTGCAAAAAAATTAGCAAGAAAGATTGATATTGACATGATTGCCTCTGTATATACACTGTGCCTATCCTTGCTATATAAAAAAATATTTATTTAAGAATATATTTTGGTTACAATTTTTATTATACAAAAAAACATGGTCAAACTTTTATTCAGAGAGGCATAGTGCCGCAGTTTTTAAATACATTATAGCCATTGCAGAGAATCGTAGCGACACGACCGTGACACTCTATGATAGCTGGGACCAAACTGTGCCACACGCCCTCCGACATAGCTTTTTACTTCTGCTGACATACATATACGGAATCGGAAGAAAACTAATGAAGTACACGTCATCAGAATGGGAAAGAGTTAATTTGTTGGGTCATCTGGCTATGATTGGGCAAAGCCAAGCACGGACTACGTGTTTCTGACATAAAATCAAATTAACATTGAAAAATCACGCACCCACATCAGCGTGCTATACTGTTGCACTTCTGCTTGTACAGGAACGTTGCTTCCTGTGCAGTTTATACTTGCGTCACTACCCATGCTGAATGCCACGCTGAGGCTGACCCACCACACAAAATCTAAAACCCCAGATGCATGCACAGTCTGTTCTCCGAAAAACGCATGTTTTCATAACGCGAATTGAATCAGATTAATGTATTAGGGAACACATTTTTAATGCATGTGTAGTGACATAGAATCGGTTATTTATCATAGCGCTTGTTGCTGGCAGAGAAGGGGATCTGCAGTTGCAGCAGCCATGACTGAAAGCAGGTCACGTGATTAACCAGAGAGAGGGATGTAGGTGAAAGGTTACAGAAGGGGCACGTGAGGGAAGCCCGGGAACCCGCTAGTAGGTTCCAGCTGAAGTCTTCATTCTTCTTGTTGTCATCTCCATCATCACCATCTCGGGGCATCACCAGTCAGGCAGCCTAACAACTGTCCTGACTGAGTAACGTCGCCGACCCCATATGGACTTATTATAAAGTGTTAACCCCGATGGTGCTTATTAATAAAGAAGTGCCTCCAATCTTGATTTGAAGCTTTCGTGACTGCAGGAATCCATACTCTTTGGTTCTTTCGGTAAAGTCACGTAAGTATAAAATGAAAATAAATCACGATGTTTCAGGTGCAAAACAAGCATCCGTCATTAGGTGGGAAAGCATGGTCTGCTGCTGAGGCAGACTGTTTTAAAAGGTTTGAAATGGGTGTAGCCTAAGGATCATAAAGAAGTGGCTGGGACTAGTGATGTTAATGTGAGAAATTAGCATGTAACTCTAAGATAGAAGGAGAGCGGCCTCCTCGACAAAGCTACAGAAGTGGCTATGTTAATGTGAGAGATGAGCATGATGTTAATGTGAGAAAATAGCATGTAACTGTAAGATAGAAGGAGAGCAGCCTCCTCGACGAGGGCACAGAAGTGGCTATGTTAATGTGAGAGATTAGCATGTTAATGTGAGAATTTAGCATGTAACTGTAAGATAGGAGGAGAGCGGCCTCCTCAACGAGGGAGTGCAACCCAACGGATGCAATCCAAAGGGCATGTGAGTATGAGAGTGCAATCCAAAGTACGTGAGCATTAGAGATCTAAGAGAGGCATAGCGAGAGAGACACAGAGAGTCGGAAATGACAGCTGACATAAGCAGGTAGGATGGAAACATCACAGTCAGTTAAGACTTTACCTGGTTAATAACGTCCTTTCAATGATTGCTCTGTTTGTACCCATCCTCTCAGTTTAAGTTGTGTCTGTGTTTATATATCTGGATGGCTTCATGAACAAATCTCTGAAGGTAGCCGGTAGGTTTGCAGAGTACCTCCGTCTTGGAAAAATATATTTAGTGTGAGCCCACAGCGTTAAAACAATGATCAGCAACAGCAGAGGTATTAGTCCTGCCGTGTTTCAGATCTGCCTTGTCTTCACGAACGCGGTCCGAGACATTCGTTTCATTTCCCCAATGTAACTGCGGCCGCAACCACAACTCAGTTTGTAGACACCAGGGTATTGCATGTCAGGAATCGCATCCTTTACAGATGGGATCAGATCACGAATTTTATGCACTGATTAAATCACGGATTTTGTGTACTGTGTTGAAACGAACCTGGATCTTGTGTTTGTTTAAGATTTTGGAAATATTTTTGGTAACCCCTGCTATGTCCTGTATGGTAAAGTGATGGTTTTGTTGGATCCTCAGAAGGTTGTCTCCGCATGGCAGGGGAGACAGCTTTGTGAATTGTACGGTCCGAGTATCCGTTCATCCTGAGGGCTTGGTGTATGTGCTCCAGCTAGGTGGTGCTGGTCGGAAATGCAACGGGCCCTATGGTGTAGTGTTTTGATGAGGGAATTCTTCTGGGCTGGATGGTGGTGGGAGTCAGGCTTTAGATAGGCATCCGTGTGGGTGGCTTTCCTGTAGACCGAATATCCCAACGAGCCATCAGGTCTCTTCTCGATCAAAACATCCAGTAATGGTAGCTTTCCATCCTTTTCCACTTCCATGGTGAATTTGATAGACGGGTGTATGGAATTGATGTGGTTGAGAAATTGGTTCAGTGCTGGCAGGCCATGTGGCCAGATGACGAACGTGTCATCTACGTATCTCTTACACAAGGAAGGACGTAGGGTGGATGTCTGGATGGCATCTGTCTCAAATTTATCCATGAAAACATTCGCTACCACTGGCGATAAGGGAGAACCCATTGGGGTAACCTCATTTTGTTTGTACAATGTACCATTTCAGGTGAAGTATGTGTTGGTAGGACAGTGCCTACCAAAGTTGGTACATCTGGATTCAGTCCTTGTTGGACCAAGTCTTCAATGATTGCAATGGTGTCAAGTACAGGTACATTGGTGAACAGAGATACTATATAGAAACTGACAAGCAAATCATCCGGAGACAGTGAGATGTTCTTGATTAGAGAAACCAAGTGAGCTGATATAAATACAGCTGAGGTGGACTTGCCCATGAAAGAAAACAGGGTCTCAGACAGAAACCGACAGATGTCAGCATATACTGCTATCAAGTTGGTAGATACTACGATAGAGTCAGTATATACTACAATAGTGACCGTAGATACTGATATAGAGTCGATAGATACAAATATAGTCAATATACTACTGTAGAGTTAGTATATTCTACTATAGTCCGTATATACTACTGTAGTGATAGTAGATACCATTATAGAGTTAGTAGATACTGCTATAATCAGTATATACCACTGTAGACTTCGTAGAAACTGATATCGAGTCAGTATATACTACAATAGAGTTAGTAGCTACTGCAATAGAGTTGATATATACTACTATAGAGTTGGTAGATAATTCTGCCGTCAGTAGGAACTACTGTGGAGTCACTAGATATTACTATAGAGTCACTATATACTACTATAGAGTCAGTAGTTATGACTATTGAGTCAGTACATACTACTTTAAAGTCGATAGATATGACTATAGAGTCGATAGATACTCCCGTAAAGTCAGGAGATACTACTGCAGAGTCGGTAGATGCTCCTGTAGAGTTAGTAGATAGTGATATATAGTAAGCAGATACTGCTATGGAGTCAGTATATACTACTATAGAGTTAGTAGTTACTACTATAGTCAGTAGATAGATACTACTATGGATTCCGTAGATACTACGGTAGAGTCAGTAGTTACT